GAGCGAGATGTCTCCCAAACATGGCCGAGACACCACAACGTCTAGATGTGGACATGGAGACCGAGAAACGTAAATCCAAGCTGTGAAGCGCTCCTCTGGTCATCTTCGGGCTTGAGAGAACGAATCCACACCTGTTTGATCCTGTTTTTCTGCATGCCTTGGGGGAACCTGTTTCACGGAAATCCCACGAGTGAATCCGTGTTGAAACTCATGCGAATCCAGGGCACATCGGTCCAAATCCATCGTCGTCGTCGTCGTCATCATCATCTGGATCCAGAGGTCTCTTCTCTCCCACTTCGGCCATTAGAACCTCAGCAACGCTGCAGTCGGTGGTCCACGGCGGCAAGACCTAGTCGTGCAGTGATTGGTTCATTGTGGTCACTTTCTGGTCCAACGGCTCTGAAGGAGCAGGGGATGAATATGAATTGTATCCAACAAGCACCCAGAAGAGTCTCTAGGCTCGGTATGGGTTTGCCTCAAATCTAGCAACCCGTCAGCTTCCTGCTTTCCTGCTTTTGGGCCTCAGCCCATAATCAGAACCGAGGGGCCGCCAGATGGGCTGCGCTCGGTTCTGGATCTCAAAGCACCCAGCTTGACCAGATGCAAGCAATGAGTGGTGTTAGGAAGGGCTAATTGGACTTGTGTCACTTGCGGCTGAGGTTGTCTGGTGCATTGTTTCCTGGGCCCAGGCTTTAAAACCAAAAACCAATGGGGAAGGATCAATCTGATGTAGGAATGTAGGATGGTCCTTTTTTGTACATCTTGACAGCTGAATCTTTCAGTGCGGAGCACTTGGAAATCACCAAGTTCAAAGGGAGGTATGCTAGGTCCTGCTTTCTGCCAAAAACAGTTTGAAAATGGTTGAAAGAAGCTTCGGCCATGGTCTGTCACTGTCAGGTGTTCCATTGCAAGAGATCTATACATATCTGCTCCTTCAGCTTTGCAAGCCAGTCCAAGCACGTTGCACAATTCCAGCAACCGTGAATCCAGCAAGTATGTAGACTCTTGATTCATAGACTGTAACCCTCCATATGAAGAAGTGCATATTCGCTCGTTGGCCTTTTCTGACAGTGGGTATGTGCATGTTCTTCATTTCTTGCCGGTGTACATAGGCCACGTGTTTTTCACGTGTCACCTCAGACCCGAGCGCTACCCCACCCATACCCGCTTGGTGGCGACGTGCCCGCAAGTCTGTGCATCCAAACGGGGGGTGATTCATCAAGAGTCTACGGTGTGGCGAGATGCGGTTCCAAACAGCTTTGGAAACCTGACAGCTTGAGGTGTGCACCCGGCAAAGGAGCTTCTTCAGTCGGTCGAATCCCCGAATTGTCCTCTGGTTTGGACCCACAGCCCAACTGAGAAAATCATGAACATCCACAGAATCAAAGTCGTTTATCCTCTGAGATCTCTCCCATGGCGGTGCCTTTTTGGGGGGGTCACTTTGGGGGCGGGGGGGTGTTCTCCGTTTGCTTTTTGCGCAACAACCGAACCTGCCGAGGCATCGGTTCACGTGACGCCCAGGATCCCATTCAGCTTCGGCTGCTGTCGGTCTTTTTCATGAACTTTGCCGGGGGGGGGCGGAAAAATCCTCCAACATCAACCCTAGAATCCAGTCACCACGCATGCCGTATGGGAACCAAAAAAAACATAGCTGTTACACATTGTTTGCCATACTTGATGCAGTATGACCCCAAGTCCTGGGACGGTGTTTTTTAACCCGTCTTTTCTTTCCACAGCATGTCCAGGACAGTCCAGTCGTCCGGTCCCTTTTTCTCACAGCCGACTGGCACCTGAGCCGTTCGTGATGAAACATGCCCGTCCGGGAGTGCAGCGACTCGTGCGACTCGTAGGGAATGAGGGAAGCCCCCAATAGAGATTCCTTACTAAGCACCAGTCTGAATGAAAATCCAGTGGAAAACATGACGAGTTTTTATTCCATGAGATGAAAAAGAACAACCTGCGCAGGGTTGAAGATCGGATGCTTGGTTGCTCTTGATCTGATGGGTCCTACCGGATCCTGCCACGACCTTCCTCTCTGTTCAGATGAGTCAAGGGCGGTCTGTTGCAAACATCACCACGGTGTCACATGTGATGCACAGTAAGCCAACCCCTGCAAGACCGAGATGCACAGGCATCGGAGGCTTCAGGCGGCTTTCTTCCCCTTCCTCATGCAACGCAAGCACCAACTAGTATCTGTTCGAGGACAAAACCTACGGTACATATACTATATACTATATACTATGTATTATATACTATATATTATGTGATGATATAGGCTCAAACTGTCGAGAGCCAGAATGCAAAGAATGAAACAATGTGGTCAGCAGGACAACGAAAGTCTTTCACCCTTGGTTCATCAGCCAGGCAGTTCCACTCTGAGCATCACACTTCTTCACCTTCCCTTTCCTTCTTTCCTGCGGATCTCTTGAGGACATCGTGCGGCTTTCAGCCGCTTCGGTTCCGACCGAAACGGCCGTAAACTGGAGATGAAGTCTTGGACCGGCAGTCCAGGAAACATGGAACTAGTAACTAGTACCCCGGCTACGACCCAATGGCATGCGCTTTTCAATACTGTAATGATGTGACACGAAATGACTCCGTGTTATCCTCAAAAACTTGCTGGAACCATCTGCTGGATTGAATCTGACCTTGTGGCCGAGCGCAAAGTGCGGCTGCTGATAGAAGACAAGTAAAACAAAAAAAAACACTCCCAGACCCCCCTCTGGCCTTTCCACCACCTTTTCCCTTCTTTTCGGAGCGAAGCTTGTCTTCGCTGCCTTTTCCTGTCGCCAAGCTCTTTCCTTTGCCTTTTGCCTTTCCCTTTCCGCCCTTTCCTTTGCCTTTGCCCTTGGCTTTCTTTCTAACTTTCCTGAGGTTGCTGCCGGGCACCCTCCAGCCAGAGAAAACAGACACTGGTGGCAAAATCAGGCCTTGGCGATTTCGCATCAGGACCCCATCATACGGGCTTGCAGAAAGTCACCCGGGTGTATGGAAACGCAGCATTGCAGAGAAGTTGCGAAAGTCACCTGCTTTATGTTACCGCACCATGAAAATAGTTTAGGGAAGTATGTGTTTGAATACTGTTGTACATCAAGGATTTACTGCCCATGCGAACAAAAACACAAGGTTTACGTCGAAGTTTGTAGCTTTGGGAGGACCGAAACCAATGGACCACTGCATGTTGAAGAAGTGCTAGTTCTGTTCGTGACTCTTGCTGCAATCCAGATAGATAGATAGACAGATAGATAGATAGATAAATAGATAGATAGATAGAGAGACAGAGAGACAGAGAGACGGAGACACAGAGAGACAGAGACAGAGACAGAGAGACAGACAGACAGACAGACCGACCGACGGACGGACGGACGGACAGACAGACAAATAGATAGATAGATAGTGTTGAACTGATACTCCAAAGTTTATCTTGCATCTTGCATCAAACCCGCATGGAAACGCACATCAAACAGCCTCTTACAATAAGAACAAACAACTTAACACAAGTACTAGTAGCACAAGTAGCCCTCTTGTTACTAGTAGTTTGGCCAGGAGCCCTTAGTAGCGTCGTTGCTCCTAGTAGCGATGCCAGGAGCCCCTAACTACGCACTCCACACATCTGCAACATCTCGGACCCCCGGACAGATTCTGCTTTCGCAGCGGCGGCGCGCCTCCGCCGGACGGTCCATTGCGCTTCGTGAAAAACCGCACGCGCCACGGAGGAGCAGCCAGCAGAAAGAGTATGACACCTCACATCCCCTGAGGAGTCACACGCCCAGACATTTTACAGCACAATGTGTTTCCGAAATTGAGGGGCGACAGTCGGCGATGTCTTTTGCTCCAGTGAGTGAAAAAGAACCTCGTGAGACAAGAGTTTTGTCCCATGTTTTTGTCCCATGTTCGAACAGCTTCAGCTTCAATAGCTTGACATTCAACGCAAACCCTGAAAACCCCTTGCTCTTCCAGAACCCCGCAAACCCCTTGCCCTTCCAAATGGTTCATTACATGATATCTGAACCTAAAACACTCGACAATCTTCTCATGTGCATGTATGCGGATATGATACATGCGGATATGTGCTTTTTCTGCCGGTGACATGTGAGCGTTGTTCAAAACCTGTCTTTGAAGCGAAGTTTTGTAATGAGGTGCTTACACACACACACACACTTATAGGTATGCGTACTGAACTGACAGCGGTGCCACACGCCAGCCTAAGTGAAAAACCTAAGAAATCAAGGTGAGTAAGGGGAAAGCTCCACCAATCTCCAAAGCTGAAAGTTCTGAAGTCACGATCTCCGAAGCTCAACGACGGTGAGGTCAGCACTAGACAATTGTTGCAAAACAC